ATGGCTAAGGATTTTGAGCACTTTCTTAAATGTCTTTCAGCCACTTTAGATTCTTCTGTTGAGAATTCTCTATTTAGTTTTGCGCCCCACTTTTTATGAACTCAAGAAGCTAGCCACCAAAACACCTCCTTTAGCTCTTTAATTCATTGAGATTCATGGAAGCATCTTAAAGTGGACAGTATCCAGGAAAAAAAAACACACTGAATTGCTAACATATAATCATATGCTAAATGTTTATTAAGCACCATTTATTAAACAAATAGAATGATATGATAACAGCTACTTATATTTGCTTAGCACTTTAGCTTTGCACAGCCTCACTGTAACCTGAAAAATTACATAAAGCTGAGATTACCATCTTCATTTCATAGATGATGAAATTATGGCTCAAATAATTTGAATGACTCATCCAAGGTGACACACTTGAGTCCCATTCTCAGGCTCAAGGCTCAAACTTGGGTGTTCTGGTCTTCAATCCTGTGTTCTTTCCATTATATTACATTAACTCGAGAGGTTTATAGGTGGGCTACACAAGGCAAGTATGCATGAAGAATTAACTGGCAATTCAAAATAGTGTCCATAGCCGGGCGTTGGTGGCTCACACCTTTAATCCCAGCACTCGGGAGGCAGAGGCAGGCAGATCTCTGTGAGTTTGAGGTCAGCCTGGTCTCCAGAGCCAGTGCCAGGATAGGCTCCAAAGCTACACAGAGAAACCCTGTCTCGAAAAAACAAAACAAAACAAAACAAAACAAAAACCAAAATAGTGTCCATAATGTCAAGAAATGTTAAAGGTGTTAACTGACTGATACAGACAGTAATTGCAGAATAAAACACCAGGAAGATCACTGTTGGTAAGAATCAACAGAGAAAGTCTTAGAAATATGTGAGACCTAAGTCTGCCCCTGGAAAGAAGGTTTATTATTATTTTTTAAAAGGACAACCTGGGAGTGGTATTTCTTTTTTCTTCTTTTTCTTTTTTTGGTTTTTCGAGACTGGATTTCTCTGTGGCTTTTGAGGCTGTCCTGGAACTAGCTCTTGTAGACCAGGCTAATCTCAAACTCACAGAGATCCACCTGCCTCTGCCTCCCGAGTGCTGGGATTAAAGGCATGTGCCACCAATGCCTGGCTGGGAGTGGTATTTCAGTATAGAGGACAGAGACAATGAAAGTACAGATGTAAGAAAGTGCAAGTATTGCCCAGAGAGAGAGAAAGAGACTCATTCACCTAGAGAAGTCTAGAAATGTAGCTCAATAATATAAATGGAAGACCTTGGGCTCTGTCCCAAGCACCACACACACACAGCAAGCAAACAAACCCAAAAACTTAAAGAAGAGATCTTTGTATTGAGGGAGAATAGAAGATTGATAAAAACTTCTTGAATTTCTGCTTAAAGTATTTTGACTTGTAGACAAAAAAATCATCAAAGACTTCTAAAAGAGTGAAACTTTGAGAGAAGTGTTGGACAGATTGATCTGACAATGTGCATTTGTGTGGAAGGGGCCTAGAGCTAAAGACTAGACAGAAACCTATGACATTCGGTCAGGGAGGAGATGAAAAGAGTCTGTATTAGAATGGTAGCATTGGGACTATAAAAGAAGGCCAATTACAACTGGCAAAAAGAGCAATGTCAGAACTTGGAGAGATAGGAAGAGAAAAGAGTGGAGTTTCCCAGAAGCTTTAGAGCCTAGGTAATTTAAGAAATATGTCATGAATAGAAATGAGCAAGATGAGTAGGAAAACTGGTTCAGGCAGTTTCATTTTTTATATTATGGGTTAGAAGCAACAATGGAAGATCTAAGTAAACCTATCCAGCAGGCAATTGAGGTTTAGAGGGACAAAGGTCTGGCCTAGCACCAAGTTGGCATGGTAGAATGAAAGAAGACATGGGAAACCATTCCAGGGTCTAGTTTCTACCCGCCACTATGTAGAAAGTCACAGGCATGACATCTCACTGGGTTTGTCTCTTCAACTGGAAAATGAAGGGGAGCACAAGACCTGTATGACCTCTGAGGTATTCTTAAGGACTAGAAGTTAACTAAATCATAGTCACCTGCTATTTGTTCTCTCCAAGAGGAAATCAACAATCTGATGAGAGAGACGATTAGATAACCACATGTCGAGAGTCTGACAAAAAGATGACAGCAAAGAGAGAATCAATCAAGGACAAGCAGGAGGAAAGGGATTCTAAATTTAGGGAATGAAATAAAGTATCATAATAAATGGGCTAAATATGTCAAATATAATCAATGATAATATACATATTAAATAAAGATATTTCAATAGAAGTATACCACCAAAATAGTAGTTGAAAAATAATGCAAATAGTAAACACAAGAGAAAGTGTTCAATGCCATAAGCAAGCAAAGAAGTGAAATTAACAAATTGAATGTTTACCATCCAGAAAGATTTCCTATAAAGTCTGATGCTGGAACTGCAATGAAACTAGGATAACCATGTATCATTGTGACAGTAAAAATTTATGCAGTCATTTTGAAAAATCACAATCCATAAAAATGTTCATGCTCTTTGGTCTGGTAATCTTATTCCTGAGAACTTGTACTAGAGATAGAATTGCAAAGAAGAAAAAAGCCACAAATGGGAAGATCTTCAAAGCACAGAAAAACTGAACTACCTAAATGTTCAATAATCAGGGGATAGCCTAATAAGATATAATCTACCAATGGAAGTAATTTTATATAACTATTGAGAAAATAAATGTGGAAGACTGCATCAACATGGAGAAAGGAGACAGGGGTCTCACTATGTAGCCTAGGCTGGCTTTGAACTCATGACCCTCTTGCCTCTACTGCCAACTCTTGGGATTATAGACATACATCACCATACCCTAAATAACCTAAAAAGCAGACTTTTTACAGTGTGTTAGAATTCTATAGCACAGTAATACAAACCAAGAAAACATGAAGTATGGCAAATGAAAATATGGGTTTGAAATAGGTGAATCTTTTCTCTCCACATTTCCTTCAGTGTTGTGACAGTGACATTTTTAAATGTTATTTTGTATTAAAAAACTCTAAAAGACATACAATAGAGTCAAGTGAAGTAGAGAGGTCAAAGAGGGATAAAAGTAGGAAAAATGTCATTAAAGTTCCTGCTGAAGACGTAATTTGTGTTCTAAGAGCAGGAGAGTGGGAGGAAATCCAATTTGGAGAGTTTGGAGCAGTTCCGTGAGTAAGTGGGAGGTATAACACTCTTCCAGGAAATGCAGTACTGAAATGAATAGAGACTAACAGAATGGTGGCAAGATGAGACAGCAAGGTTAAGGCATAAGCGTTCATGTCTTTTTCTTTTAAGATATAAAAATCAGTGTAAAGTATAAAATCAATGATGGAGGTAACTGACAAAGATGAAGAGATAGAAAGAAAGGAACAAGATTCTTCATTCAGGGATCAGGAGGAAGGAAGGGATAAAAACAAAACATCTAAGCAGATTGTGAATGAAGCACAGAGAAGTTGAGGTATTAACACAGTCTGGCGGCATATGTCTTTAATCCCAGCACTTGAGAGGCAAAAAGGTAAGTGGATCTCTGAGTTCAAGGCCATCCAGGTCTCTGCAGGTAGTTCTAGGCTAGATAGAGGTACACAGTGAGATCCTGGGGTGGGGGTAGCAGACTTCAAAGTCCAAGAAGCTGGTCTTGAATAAGCAGCTTGGAGTTATCGGGCCTGACAATGGAGGAGCTTGAACGAGTTATAATGAAGAGAATAATCTTACTGTGTAGAGCTGATAGGAAGGAGAGGTGGCAGGCAAGGGGGCTGTGACCATAAGAGTGGGAACCTGGCAAGAATCCTAAAGATCAGTTAATTTACTTCTAATAGAAGAACTCTTGTGTTCCGAGGGAGAGAGATCCCTTTAAAGAATGGGAAGGAGGGCAGAGGGGCATTAAGATTGTTTTACTCAGAAAGGTCAGCAAAGGCTGGGGGCTGACTCAGAATACCAGCAGGCTCTAAGGTCATTTCATGGGAAAAGAAACTCAGACTTCTCAGGCCCAGGATTTAGCCGCCCCCCCCCCCAGTCCATACACCCACTAGATCCTCCAAGCCCATTGAATGCTGTGGCAAGAGGATTAAACAGATGGAAAACTGAGTGCCCCACCCCGGCCTTGAAATCCTACAACCCGATTCAGAACGAGCTGGCGACAGGTTTATTCTTTATCTAACTAGAGCTAGAGAAAGGGGAGGAACCAGTGGAGAGCCAGTTCTGGGCGTCTATTCCTGTCACCACCCTATCTTTTGGACAAACCTGCTCTACCCATCAGTTTTTAAACTTGGAGCCATGAACTCTAGAGGTCTTCTTCCTTCTCAGTCAAGGCTGCCCACTCTTAAACATATGGGAGCTATCAAATATGTTCTCCACAGTCACAGAGGTGGATCTAGTCTCACTCTTGTTTCCAAGTTGCAATCAACCTAGACCCTGCCTCCTGGGGCTCCTCAGGTTCATCACTTAAGAGCAGTGGTCTACCTCATGGCTGCCCAGCAATTCAATAGTACTATGCTTCTAGCTGCTTGTGGGACCCTGGCAAGCAGGTTCAGGGGCCTTGTACCCTATTTCAGCACCTTGGCAGGTAAGACTAGCTCGTCTTTGAGAGGGAGCCAGGAAGTGGGTGTGGATGCTATAGATATGGCACATATGGCATCTGTGATATTCTAGCTTGCTCCATTTTATACATCAGGCCAGTTTTGAGATTGCTCCACCCTTCATCTCTCTAATCGAATTGTCTACTCTGGTTGGAGAAATGCGTTCTGTGGAAGGACCTGGGGGAAGCAGAGAGGGTGAAAAGCACGGAGGAAGTCTTGCCGGCTCTAGAAAAAGGATAAGTGGCTCCAGGAAGGGACAGAAAAAGAGAAAGAAGTAGAGGCAGAGGACTAACTGCTCCAAACGTTGACTAAATAGAGGGCAGCTGATGCCCTTATCAGGTGTCACTAATGGGCCCCCTTCCCTCTGTCCTGCAGTTAGCTCCCTTCCTTCATACCCAGTGCCCAGGGTTATAATCTGTCTCCCCCATAGGTAGGGAAGATGATGTCCTGGTGGGTGTCTGCCCACCTGATGCTGCTTTCCTCATGTAGGGTCACCAAGGCCAGGGAGGAGGCAATCGTTCGGGGCTGGGGCCCGCTACCTCTGCATAGCCGCTGGAGCTGGCTTCGATACTTGTCCCCAGTGAACAGATAGAGCACTGGATCCAGACAGCTATTAGCACTGGCCAGGGGCCGGGTCACTTTGTAGACCACGTTGACAATGTTCAGCACCCGGCAGTCAGCTTTCAACAGCCTTGCCAGGTAATAAATCGTGCGAGTGATATGGAAAGGCACAAAACAGACAGCGAAGACAGTCAGCACGACAACAATGGTGCGGAGGGAACGGAGCCGAGACGATGACTGTCCAGCTCCTGGCAAAGGTCGATACAATCGTCGGGCCATGAGTCCATAACAGACCAGGGTGACCAAGAAGGGCAAGCCGAAGAGCAGCACCATAACTGCTGAACTGAAGTGCACGTAGTGGTCAAACTCCTCAGGCCGAGTGGTGTCATGGCACAGAATGGTGGTTCCATTGGGGCTAGTTGTCACAAAGAACAAATTGGGCACAAGGCAGCCAGCTACCACCAACCAAACAGCTAGACAGAGAAGGCTTGCAAATCGAGGGCGGCCCCAGCGTAGCGCCCGCAGTGGGTGGCAGATGCCCATGTAGCGGTGCACACTGATGCAGGTGAGGAAAAGGACACTGCAGTAGAGGTTCCAATAGAAGAGAAAACGGACAAACTTGCAGAAGCCAGTGCCAAAGGGCCAGTGGTTTCTGGCAGCATAGTAGTAGACGAGGGTGGGCAGTGACAGCACATACAAGGTGTCTGACAATGCCAAATGGAACATGTAAGTGGCTGTTGCATCCCAGGGTCGAAGGCGGAAGAGGAACAGCCAGAGGGTGGGAGCATTGAGGGCTAGGCCCAGCACAAAGACAACCGCGTAGCTCACAGGCAACAAGATGAACTTGAACTCCTCATTAAACTTGCAACCACCATCTCCAGAACTTTGGCTGGGGCCTGGAGATGTGAATAGCAAGGATTCTGAACTGGTCATGGTCCCCTAGAGGTAGAAAGAACAGAAGTGAGTGTCTGACTTCCATAGTTTCCCAGTCCTGACAAACCTACAACAAAAGAGGAAAAGCACCAAGGAGAGCTAGGAGGAGCAAATCCAAGTGCAATCCACGCCTGTCCAGCCCTTACCCAGCTCCCTTAGCCCAACCCCTACCCTGCTCCCATAGCCCAGCCCCTACCAAGCTCCCTTGGCCCAGCCTCTACCCTGCTCCCTTAGCCCAGCTCCTACCCAGCTCCCTTGGCCCACCCAGCTCCTACCCAGCTCCTGTAGTCCAGCTCAGGGACTGATGGGCATCAGGCAGTGCTGGGACTCAGGTGGGCAGTCAGTGGTGTTCTGCAGCTTCCTCTCCCGCAGAGCCTGGCTAACTGAAGAGGGTGGAGGCTGACCAGCACTATCTAAGGGGAAGATACCCAGGCTCAAATAGTCACCTAGCTCACCATCACAGCTCTGTCCTGGTAATGAGGGCCTCTCTCCCTCTCCTCTCACCCTGGTCCTAGTTCTCTGTACTCGTATTTCCCTCTGAAGTTGCCCCAGTTCACATCTGCTTCCAGTCCAGGAGAACCACCACCACCCTTGCCTAGGAACCTTAGCAAGACTTCTACCCAGTGCCCTTGAAGCTGAGCCCAGCTGACTCTGTCACCCTTCCTCTTGGCAGCCAGAGGGCATATTCTTGGGGGTGGAACTCTGGGTGGTGCCTATCCCTCCTCCTGCCTCATCCCAGCAGATTGCCAGAGCTAGAAAAACCCTCGGAGGTTATCTAGTCCAACCCACTCAGCATACAGATTGGGAAACTGGGGCCCAGTGAGATTACTATTTAACAGCTTCAAAATGATTGTGTACACAAGGAGACATCCCAGTTTACAGATAAAGAGCTAGGCCACTGAAGGTAATTAAATTACAGGACTATCATATAGGTTTATGGGTGTAGAAACATGGGAAATGAATTTTAACATGGACAACAGTAAGTCAACACACTGAAGGACTTCTGAAAATGTAAACTACTGATAACCATCTTTACTCTGTATGCATTTAATTATAGCAAATGTTTGTCTAGGCCTTACTCTGTGCTAGGCGCTGTTCTAAGGACTTTATACCTATTGATGATTCCACAGTTTCTCTATCAAATAGGTTCTATTACTGCCCCTACTTTACTGATGAGAAAATTAAAATACAGATAATTTGTGTATTTTGATAATTCATGGTAAGATCAAGTTTTGAACACAAAAAAGCCTACCATGGGCCAAACTCTAACATTCATGACTTAATAAGTATGACAACTTTTAAAAACTAGTTTATTTAAATTTATTTTATGTGCATTGGTGTGAAAATGTTAGATCTCCTGGAACTGGAGTTACAGATAGCTGTGAGCTGCCATGTGGGTGCTGGGAATTGAACGCGGGTCCGCTGGAAGAGTGGCTCTTAACCACTGAGCCATCTGTCCAGCCCAGGTATGATAATTTGATCCTCCAAGCTACTGGATCAGTTCTGAGAAAGGGTCAACAAACATTTCCCAGGAACTTTCAGTTCTAAGTCCTGATAGTTCACTAGAAGTGAACAAAAAAGATTAAAACCTGTCAGCTAGGGCTGAAGAGATGGCTCTGTGGTTAAGAGCACTGTGTACTCTTCCAAAGGATCTGGATTAAATTCCCAGCACCCATATGGCAGCTCACAGCTCTCTGTAAATCCAGTTCCAGAGGACCCAGCATCCTCCCCCAGACATACATGAAGGCAAAACATCATTGCCAATAAAAAACAAAAACAAAAACAAAAAATTTTAAATCTATCAGTTTAATAGGAGTTACATACTAATGGAGGTAATAATAAATTAATAAGATATAGAGAGAGTATGATCGCTGTTATAGAGAAAAATGAAGGATATAATGAAAAAAATGTGCTGTTTTGAATATTGGAGTGAATTGAATAAAGACCAGGTACTTTGAGGAAGGGAAACAGAATATGAGGTCAGAGCATTTTCGAGGGACCAGATTTTGAAGGCTCTTGTGAGTCAGTTTAAAGCCTTTACTGAGTGGAAGAAAGCCACAGAGGCTTTGGAGAGAAGTGCCGTGGTCTGACCTGCTCTCCAGAGAGTTCTGTGCTGAGACTAGATAGCAGGGCTAGTATCACAGGAAGGGGCTACTGATAATGTGGATGGTGGTCATGTGGACCAAAGTGACAAAGGTGACAAGAAGTCATCATATTCTGGGTATGATGTGAACATAGAGATAAAATTCACTGATGTGGACTATGAGAGGAAAAGAGAATTCAAGAGTGACCCCATGACAGGCCTTGTTACAATTACAGGCCTGTAATGTCAGTAGTTGGGACTGGGAGGATTACCCCAAGTTCAAGGCCAGCCTGTGTCACATACTAAGACTCTGTAAAAAAATAATTAATTCTAGGTTTCTTGCCTGGGCAACTAGAAGATGGGAACTCCTGTAAACAGGCTCAGGGGAAGGCGATAAGAAAGCACATTTGGGCATTTGGGAGAAGAAGGGAAGTTCATTTTCCAGCATATATGTTTTGAGATGTCTATGACACATGTGAGAACAGATGGCCAGGAAGCAGTTCCTATCTCCCTGTGGATGCTAGCCAATAAGCTTCCCTTACACATCCCACCCCTTCCTACACAACACCTTGTCTCTCTCCTGGTCTTAATACAGTAGAGAAGGGATGCAAAGCAAGTTTCCATTATTAAAAGCCTAATGCCAGAGAACAGTTGACAGCAGTTGTGGGTCTGAGGTGTCAGGAACTTAATATGACTTCATAAGTCCCACTGTCTCTGGTATACCAGGCAAATTGGGTCTGGAGAATGCTGTGGGGAAGGTGTGCAGTACTTGTTGGGAGGGATGAGCAGGCTGGAGCAGAATCTTTAAATGGAGCTTGGAAGCAATGAAGACTCAGAACCTGATCCTCAGGTCCCAAGAATGTGACCTAACTGCATCCCAGAAGGGAGAGGAGGGGGTAGGCCTGCAGAGGAGACTCTAGAATCCAGGATCTGGATCTCTTGGAAGGCCTACAACCCTGGATGTGGGGGGAACATGGAGACCCTGTCCTGTTTCAGGGTTTAATGAGGCATAACCTGAGTCCTGGCCTACTGACTTATGGGATATCACATAAAAAGCCCAAGTGTTTGGAGCTGGGTGAGCTTGTATTCAAATCCTTCTTCTGTTTATTTTCTGTATGACCCTGGGCACCTATTTCTGACAATTTCCTCAACAGTGAAATGGGAATAGTAGTACCAAACCATAGGTATCAGAATATGAATTAATCAGTAGCTGTACGAAGCCTTGTAAGTCATAAAATGCTACAAGTCTGTAATATTTTCCTTCACATTATTCTGCTCCCAGGGATGAATCTGACCTCTTTAGGGGAGGTGAAGTGTCTCCAGACTTGCTGCAGACTCTAGTCATGGAGAGGTGCCACATTAGAAAAGATCTGGCGTGAACCAGCTTCCTGCTCTGCTGCTTCAAGCTGGCTTAACTCGAGGGGTTTCCTGACTTAATCTGCCAGGTTTCACCTGACAAGTCTAAGCAGGTTTCTGCTTGTCCCTGGACACAGCTGCAGCAGCTGCTGCTGCCACTGCCGCCCAGTGGCTACTTTAGGAAAAGACCTCCCCCAACATCCCCAGGGGAAGCCCCAGCTGCTACCACCCTCCCAGAGGGAACAAAGCAACACAGACAGACTGATTTTCTCTGAACTGCTTCTTCACTTTGCTGTCTGTGGCTTGCATTGCTTGGTTTCTGCTATTCCTCTGAACACTCCTGACCCGTTTCCCCATCTCCTATTTGTCATTCTTCCACCAAATATGGCTCTTCCCCAAAGCAGGCTCCCTCCCTTCCAGCACCCTCCTTCCTTTCCTCCTCCCCTTCTCTGCCACCTCTCTCACTTTCCCCTCTCCAGCTTTCCTCAGAAAATTACCCTCATGATTTTAACTGTCGTTTAGATGTTGTTGATAATTTTCTTTTGTTTTGAGACAAGATCTTGCTCTGTAGCCCAGGTTTGCTTTAAACTCATGATGCACCCACTACTCCACCTCCTGAGCGCTGCTATTATAATATGCACCAGCACATCTGGAAGATGTAATCAGTGACTCTACTTACAAATAGATCCCAGCATAGTTTTTCTCTCTCTGCCTCTCTCTCTCTGCATCTCTCTGTCTCTCCTCCCTCTCCCCCTCTGGAGTTTCTGTCCCAGCTGGAGAGAAAGCTCAGTATTTAAGAGCACTTGTTGCTCTTCCAGAGGACCTGAGTTTGAGTCCCGGCACCCACATCCAGCAGCTTACAGCCACCTGTAATTCCAGATCCAAAGGATCTGACAATCTTGTCCGACCTTTGCGGACACCTACAGTCCGGTGCACACACAAACACATACACAATTAAAAATAAACACTTAAAATACTTATCTCTCATCCTTTCATGGCATTTGATTTTCATAGAAGTCATAGCATACATCATAGACTTCCTATAATTACACTCATTTGTGTTTTTACCCATCTCCTTCTGATCCCCCTCACCACTAAACTTGATCCAGACTTCTTGTCCTCACAGTCTTCATATAAAGCTATGATCTAGAAAATAAGCTATCCAAATGGGGTGTGTGGTTGTGCAAACATGCCTTCCAATCCAGGATTAAGAAAAAAGTACCTTGCATATAGTAAGTATGCAATGAAGGTTGAATGAGTGAATGAATAAATGAAAGTTACAGTTTTTTGAATGGAATGGTTTCTATATCTATAGCCTTCCCCTGTATAAGTGGTTTGCTGTAGGTGACTTCCACATGAGTATTTGATAGCAATTCAGTACTTGTCTTAATACATAAATAAATGTTTCCATGCCATTATTGGTGATAACCCTTCCCTTCTAGTGCTCCATTTTTTCTCAGTCCTCTCCTTCCTGGTCCCTTGCGCATAATATTCATTAAATGTATTGATGGTAATTTCTCTGAAATGTCTGCTGTTTACTTGGGAACTAGAGTAGAAAATG